TGGGACAGCAACAACAGAGGAACACTGCGTACCCAGAAACATTACAAAATCTGGTATAAATTGAGAGCATTTATTATTAATAGAAATACTATTTTCAAACTATGTCGCACTTTCATCTCTGAGGGTTTCACATGCTGTAGTCCTGATCCTGTGTTTGTATTCCTAACTCCCACAGTTAGCTTGATCAGATTTGATAGAATTGGTGGTGTGAGGAGGATGCACACTTTATACAGCTTTGTGAAATTTGGCTATAGACATCAGTAGTTTCATAAAAACTTCACTACTGCTGTGATGGAGGCAACTGTCCTCTGGAATTTTCCAAATATTCTGTAATTGCCTTGCAGAAGGGGAATGACAGTGGATAATGTTGGGATTTTTTTCCAAAAGCACCTTCAGGCAGCACTCACAGGGAAGAACAGAGCCCTGGTCTGTTGGTACGTGCGAGTGAGAGAGGCTCTCACACAGCACTGAACTGTATAAGAACAGTTCACATTTGCCCCCTTAGGTTCACATTCACCCCCTTATTCCTGCACTAGAACAAGTGTGAAATGGCCACATTGTGATGTCCAGGAATGCCTGAAATAAAATGAACAGAGACCCATATTCCAGGAAGGGTCAGAACTGCCTGGTATTCATACTCTGAGCTGACGGGAGACTTGTAAATGCAAAAGGGAGCAAGAAAGTTTTAATGTCTTAAAATCTCCTACTGGAACACGTTAGCTATGGATAAGTTTAGTGTTCGTCTTTGAACCAGAATGCGATTCTGTTCCAAAATACCAGATCTGTGCACCCTTATGGATGGTGACTCTTAACACAAACACCTCCACCCAAATATGGGTGCCACTTGGCATCATCTGTCAGCTGGCATCAGCTGGCTCAATCATCCCAGGGGTGATCGTAGACCAATTCAGAAATTCTTATATTTGGTGGGGGAAGGAGGGAGGGGCACAGGTGAATGTGTGTAAAGGGGTAAAAGAGTTATCAAGCGCTTTGTTCAGGGGTCAATAAATTAGTGGCTGAGATAGAGAGTTACACACAGTAGCATGAGGTTTACCATGCAAAGTAACCTTAGACCCTTATTATGACAGGGATGCTCATTTTTTGCTATAGGATTTTAACATTTAGATGTTTATAATAATTTCTTTTTTTAACATTTACTTGTTTCCAACATCAGTTATAGAAAGTCCCCGGTGTTCTGTCCTGCACCCAGGATTATAAAAATATTTAAAGTCACAGAACAGATATATGGCTAGGCAGACACATGTTTTGATTTATGTTATACTATGGTTGAGGCACATATTTGAAGGCAAGGTTTTTGGCTGACAACAACATCACAATAGCAGTCTTCCAGCCATATATTATAGTGATGACCCCTGAAAATTATCAGGGTTTAGTACAAGGCTATAATATAGGGTTTCTGGAAACTCTACATAAGCAACAGACAACATAAAAAGTCGTACTACTATTTATGTGCCATCAAATCACATTAGGGGGGATTTGACCACATAAATAGTAAAATGACTTTTTGGGAATATGGAAATTAGAGAAAAATGTTTCAAATAGAAACCATAATTTACAGAAAAATCACAAATATGCAACCATGTTACGAAAGTAGGGAAGCAAGAGGCAAATAGGGAAAGGAAGACTTCTTGGAATCTTTTCCTTATACTGCAAGATTTTATTTTTTTTAACACACACAATCAAAGATGCATCCTGTCATGTCATATCATTATTACCTATTTTTTTTTGTATTATATTGTGAGTTACGTGGGAGTTGACTGATATCTATGTTGTCAGCTGTTTGCCAGCTGTTTGCTCCTGGGATGAACGGGGCGAATGTTAGCTTCTCAGAACCATCAAAATAAACAGCATCATTTCTCTTTGTTCTTTCTCTGCTGCAAAAAAATGCTCTGTGGATAGAAAAACTCCCCAGTCCCAAAATCTCACCCTCTTTTCTTGCATCACTTGTGGTACATGTTAGTATTTATCTGGTTCTCATTGTTTGGTGATGCTAATGAAAATTGTGGAGCATGTAAGAATAATAATTGTGGCAGCTATGGAATAGCAAAAGTGCAAAGAGTCCTGTAAAGACAAGTGTGAAATAATTAAGGGGCTACTCCAAATAAAACTCTGTTACCCAAAGAATGTTGATAAAGTCTACAGAATTTTTGACATCGATGTCATTGTGAAGTAGATTGGCCTTGGGCCATGCAAATCTGGTGGCAGATGAACTGTGGCGCTGCCTCAGGTTGGCTCTGTGGAACAGCAGGGCACTGAGCAGCTGCAGGCCCAGCCCATGGTGGGATCACCCATGTAACCCTTCACTCTTCCATGGGAAGGGTACAGAGCTGACTCAAGTTTGCCTCTGATCACTGGAGTGCGCAAACCAAACATATTCAGAAGCAGAGCAAAATCGTTACAAATGCTGGCAATTGTTACCTTAGGTTTTTGGGATGTGAGGGTGAAGAAGTTATACTCCCTGTGATCTGGTTTCTTTGGTGAAGGAATTTCTCTCCTATGGTCCCGATTTGGTCAGCCTCAAGTATTTAAGCAGTGCTACTGACTTAAAAGTGCATTTATCTTATAGTATGTGAATGTAACTATTCTCTTGCCTAAACTTTACCATGTGCCTAAGTGCTTTGCTGGGGAGATGGTCAATATTCTTAGATTATTCTTAAGGAAAAAAAAGACTTTTATTTTGAGGTAGTAATAAATATTAAATTCTTGGAAGATTAAAGGATTGAGGAGACTTTATATGTCACTGTTGTGCATGCACAGCTCTCTTTGAAGTCAATGGAACTTGTGTGTGCCAAAGGGCAGAGATATAGGGTGGCAGAATTTCATAATATTGTGACTTAGGAGCCAAAAACACCAGGGGATATCTAGAATGAATACATGAACTTTTTAAATGCTTGAATGCTTTGAAGTGATCTTTTTTGTTGTTGTTTTTTGGTTTTGGTTTTTTGTTCTTGTGGTTTTTTGTGGTTTTGTTTTGTTTTGTTGTTTGGGGTTTTTTTGTGTGCATGCATGCCATTTTTTGTTTTGCTTTTGGTTGTTTTGGGTTCTGATTTTTCGGGTTTTTTTTATAGGAAAATACCTTGAAACCTGCTTTTTTTCCCTAGAATGTAACAGTTAATATCCACTTAAAGGAAAACCTGTCTTGCAGGGAGATTCCCTGATAGTAAAACAGAAGAGCAGAGGTTATTTAGAAAAGCTGAGGAGAACCTTTGGCATATACAAGAGACAAGAGGCAGTCTGGAGGCAGGAGGAGATGTTGCTGGAAACAGGAAGGCGAGCTCTTGAGCATAAAAGAGATACCCAGAAAGCAGAATAGTCATCAGTCAAGGGAAGGTGTACAAAACATCCAGGAGAACTGTATGTCAGAATCTACCTCTGGGAAATCTGTTGAATCAGGGAGTCTGTGATTATTTTGCACCTTGGATTACTTGTGTGTGCTCAAGCAAGAAAACTATATAGCTATTTTCCTTGCTTGCCAAAAGAAAACAATTAGATAGCGTTTGTACTGATGCTCTTAAATGAGATTATTTTTGTTTTACAAAACATTGCTCTTATTTATTGACTTTATTTTGGAAGCCTTCAAATGTTGGATTTCTCCCAACATTAGGGGAAGGCTTAGAGCTCTTTATGATTCTTTCTTTCCACATGAGCTACATCTAGGAAAGTGCTGAGCAAAGAACAAGGGGTGCTTAGCATTATGCTACAGCGCCTAAAATCATTAGAAAATTGCACCTTTCAAGACCTGGAATAGAGATTGTGAGGCTGAACGGTTCCATTTAAGGTAACAATAGCATAATATTAATCACTTATTAACAGTCTTGGTCATTTGGCTTATTTCCTCATTTTCTACTGCCCTTTTGAAAATCCTGTTTTGCCCTTGCTGATCTCTGACTTATGAATGGCATCAGCAACTGTATCTTGGTTTGAAAGTACATGTGTGTGGAAAGGGAAAGGAAGAGGGATGACAGGCTCTAGCCAACATACTTTTGCACAAGACTACTAGCTTACCACATTGCACTCTCCTTTTTTTTTCCTGCTAATTACAGGAAGAGTAATTTATTAATATTTGTGCAATGGTAACTTCTCAGCTCACCCACAGCCTTTTCTAATCCAGCCAATTATTTTTAGTGTTACTTTTAAGCTCTGTCTTTAATTAATGGGGTGCAGAAGTTTAAAGCATATGGGGTTGCTTTTCTTAAGTCTGGGAAGAAACAGAGTTTAGAAACCCTGCAGATACGCTTCTCAATATTGCACTTAAACTCTGTTTCTGAAAATACTACATATAAGTTGTCACATTTTCTTCAGCTTGACTTAAAATTCTGTGACGTGTCACATCAAATAGCAACAATCATGAAATTTTTAGGGATGTGTCAGTTTTGAGATACATACTTTCTTGCTTTGATCCACCACGGTTCAATTGGAAGATAAAATAATCACTTCCAGTTTTCACTACTTCTTTATAAAAACATATAATAAAATATATATATTTAAAAATTTTCAAAGTATTTGTTCCAAAGCCCCTTTAAACAGAAAATTCTTGTTGCTGCTAAAATCTGATGCAAAACCATCGCTTGAGTTGCAGTCATGTTTTTTGCCTGCTTCACAGGAAAATTTGAAAGGTGCCATCATTTTTAGGATACCCATGGTCCTAGCTGGGCAGTCCAGTCTTCCCACATCTGGAGCGTGATCCCAGCCCGGTGCAGTCAGGGCTGGTGTCAGAGGGTCAGCGCTTTGTGATCCAGGTCTGTCTGAACAGAACTTGAGCTGCCTTTTTAAGTGACCAAAAAGAAAACCTCCCTCGCTCCCTCACCGCGCTCCCTTCAGCAACAGGTGGAGCGAGCAGCGTGCGAGCCTGGCTGGGATTTCCCGAGGGAGCCGCACAGCCCCAGCACCGCCTCTTCCCCCCGGGGTGAGCTGGGGCGAGGGAAGCAGCGAGCAGACGCTGTCGGCCCATG